CACGTCCTCTAAAGAGCATATAAATCCATCATTTAAGCCACGCAGGCCGGTTACACTGCCTCTTAGTTTGTGTACGGGGTGCTGTTTAGAGTTCTTATATCACATCCTTGTCACACTTCCTGCCTGGAGTGACAGCCACAAATCAGAAGGTGAAAGAGCATCTTCATTAATATCACAGAATTTGGGAAGCTTCCTGGACAGGTTCATTGTCTCTGTTGAAAAATCACTAGATAGGTTTGTTGAACTGTCATGGTGATCTGTGTTTCATGTTTGGTCCTCATTTCTCTTGAAAATAAACTTTTGTCACCTTTTTTTTCTCTTACAAAAGTAATATAGGTACATCATGGAAAATTTAGGAAATTCAGATTAGCCAAAAGAATAAAAATAACTTAGAGTCTCACCTAGAAACAGACACTGTGTGCTTTCAGGAGTGTACCCTTCCAGTTTTTTTTCTATGTGCGTGTGTATGTATGTATATTCACTCAAACATACACATTATCTTTAACATGCCAGGATCATATAGGCATATAGTTTAGGGACATTCCTTTTTGTCCGTAATGTAGGGAGAACACCTTGCTCCATCATTACACATCCTTCTACAAAATCTTGCTAACCCTGGAGAGATTTTGCAGACATTCTGGAGAAGGTTTTTGGAAAGAGTTGGAGTCTCAAGAAATGGTTCTGAATTCGCTTGTTTTTCTGCTGTCCCTATACATTTTTCCATCACAGTGTAGGAATTAGAGACCAAGTCACATGTAGGGCTTCCGATTGGAGCTTCAGCATATCTTTCCTGTTGCTCAATGATGTACTGGAATGAGGGGTCCCTGGTGGGCAGAGGTCTCAGTACAAAGTGCGGTCTGTGTGGATTATCTAAAGAGTAGTGGTAGCCTTGCTGCCAGCACCGAGAGACACAAGTTCCCTTCCAATCACCAAGATGTAGAAAGATTTATTAAACTTTCTCCCATCAAGTGCAGATGGTGGGGATGGAGAGACACATTTTTAGAAAGCCCAGTCCATTTGTGAGCCATCTAACAAAACAGGAAAAGGAAGCAATGTCCTCATCTCCCTTTTCAAGGGACAAATATAATGAAAGCATTCTTCCCTCTTGTCTTGCCTTAGAGTTTCCTTGATAGGTCCTTGGATGTCCCTTATAACAATATATCTCTTTGGAGAAAATATTGTATTATTTTTTTAAAACTACACCTTTACTGCTTTAGAGTATTTTTTAGGAGGATGTTTCTAAGCCTTAGTTTTCTCCTGTGTGAAATGGGAAAAACAATAATATGCACTTCAATGAGGTTGTTGTAAGCTTTAAATTCGATAACGTATGTAAATTGCTTCCTGGTGCACAGTAAATACTCAATGAATATTAGATGCTGCTATTTTCTGTTAATATTGAATGAGAAAACGAGTGGCTATTTGGCTGTATTTTGAGTTTGGCCATCCAGTTAGGAGACATGTTGGGAAATGTTAACAATTCTTTGCTTTTGCCTAGTATAGCATTCAGTACGTGTTGGTCAAATGAATGAATGGTGCTGTGGATGATGACACTACTTCTGGACATTGGTTAAGATGCCTTGTCCACCAAAAATCAATAATGTGGTCTTTTTACATAGCGTGTGCTCTTCAAGATCTGCTCTACAAGTCTGGAAGGGTTTAGGGCAACTTGTTTTCTAAATCGTTTTGTTCCTATAGTCAGGTGGCACAGAAAGTTTGGGTATGGGAAGATACATACACACATATACATATTTATGTCTATTTTCACTGACTTATTTATTCCTTGGAAGAAACTGTTGGAGCAGCTCTTAGTAACTATTTAGTGAGGTTCCCACATGTTGTGGGTTTTGTAGTTAGTATCAAACATTTGAGTTCAACATAACACAGTGACAGCAGCAAGGTCACAAGCCTTCATGCTTTTCTGCCATGTTCCAGTGGTTCTGCATCTTGAACTGACTGAGAGTTGGCTGATGTTTGCTTTGGAACTCAAGTGTGCTCCTCTGGAGATGAGGCACGTGAGGTCAGAGTTCCCGAATATGGGCACTGGTACTGTCTTCTTGGGCCAAATGAAGGCTGGATTCTTTGATGCAGCTTGACACACATTAGACAGCTGAATGTCCCCCAAATGAACGCTTGATGCCTTACTATAGACCCTGTTGCCTTCAGCATATATAGTGTGACAGCACTGAAACTTTGTTCCTGTTTTGATATGCTTATATATGTGGCAAGTCACTTACAATCTGCATAGCCTTTCAGAGGTCAACTCTTTTTAAAAATGGTAGGTTTGGAAGAGAGTCTCAAAAGCTCTTTGCATCTCAGCCCAAGGTAAGTGGGGACTGACTCTAGCTTTTACCAGCCTGTCACCCTGATGCTCGGTTGCCTCCTGTGGAGAACGGGAGTAATAATTATGGTTATTCTGAGGGTCAGAGTGGGGTTGTGGTAGGCAATGGGAGGGATTCTGGGATTTACTGCCATGCCAGTTTTGTAACAGTGCAACAGTGCCAGGTAACCCCTAGTAGGATTGAGCTAGAGACCAAATAAGAAGCCAGGATTGAAATGATATGATTTTTCTTTTTGTAACTAGGAAATTCCGACTTGTACACTGGTTTGGCCCAGCATTGCCGGAGAAATCTCATGGGATATATCTTTCGTTACTTTGAACTTCTTGGTGCCAGGACTGGTCATTGTGATCAGTTACTCCAAAATTTTACAGGTATGTTTGCTTCAAGTGTTGCAGCTGAACTTCACTCAGTCTCAGGGCATTTCAGGTAGAATCTCAGAATTTCCAGGTGGGAAGATACCTTCAAGTTCACTTCCGTCCAATCCTGCTTCACTGCCTAGATCCACACCCTCTGCACACTGAGGGACGAGAGTTTGGTTTGTGTTTCTTTTTTAATAAGTTATATCTTTGTGATGATTGTTTTTCTGCTCGTCACTAAAGTAATACAAGCTCATTATAAAAAATTAAAATGAAAACAGATGCAGAAGTGAATAACACAAGAAACTGAAAATCTACCCGATTCTTAACAACTCAAGGTATGTTTTTTTAGATTATTTTTCTAACAAATTTACATATATTTATATATACCGTGTATATGTTTGATGAATCGTATGACATTGCGGGTTAAAATGGTCAAGTAGCTGTTTGACACTGCTCGATCCAATGTTCTTTATTCAGAAATGAGATATACTATCTGCTCTGTAACTTCCTTTTTTCACCTCACACTATATCTTGACACCTTTCCACATCAGTTCCTATACTTCTATCTCATTATTTTTAATGGCTGCATGGCCTTCTAGTCACTGCTCCCTGCCTGCGGGGAGTGTCCAGCTCAGGTGTGTACCAACACGGGAAATGATCTCTCCCTTCAAAGCAAATATGTACGGGGACTTAAAAAAGATGGACCAGCCTCTGTTTCCTACCTCTTAAGGCAGCCCATTTGCATGTAAGGTGCCAGCCCAGACACACAGCATGTACATGAATTTATGCCCATTCTAGAAGTTTAACACAAAGCTTTTGAGTCCCCTTGGAGGTTTACAGTTGTTGAATCTTGGTTTTATAGCATAGTATGTAGGGGTCATCTGGAAAACAGGTATATCAAAGTGATGCCCTGTAGATCCTGCTTGCTGGACGGCCACTTTTATGGTCCTTTCTTTAGTTGAGGATCTGTGACTTATATGCTCAGAACCCAAAGCCATGCCAACCTTTTTCCAGGTCTGCTAATCCCTGGGTCCTATAGGATGTGGTCTCCATGAGTGTTACTCCCTAGACTCTTTTTCACCAGATGATTTTGACCCCTGAAGTGACCCACAGCCTGGGGCTTATTCAAGTGTATGAGGCAGATTTAGGCCTGGAGTTAAGGCCTGGAAAGTGCTTGCAACAAAGTCCTGGCATATGCTATGCTATGTAAATTTTACCTATCATCATTAAGTTAAAAGGAAAGAAGTAAAGGAAAGAGGGAGAGATGTCAAATGAATTTTTAAAAATTTGTTTAACGAATATTTATGTAGTATTTACCATGTGCCAGGAATGAACTCATTTAATCCTAATAAGAATTAAAGATGAGGACATCCAGGCACAGAGAGGTTAAGTAACTTACCCATGATCACACAGGTCATAGGTGGCAGCAGCAACAAGATTTAAATCCACGTAGTTTAAACCTTAACAAATACCAGCACTTTGCACAGAGTGAACCCTTAACAAATGTCTGAGGAATTAAAGTGTCTGGTCCTAACATTTTAATTCCTCAGACATTTGTTAAGGGTCCACTCTGTGCAAACTGCTGGTAGGGGGTCGAGGTGGGTCAAGAATGAGCAAGTCACAGTCTCTTTCTAGAAGGAGATTGGACACCAAAGGGGAAAAGGGGAGACAGACAAAGGTGCTGTTATTTAAAGCTGCAAAGCCCCAGAACACAAGGTGGAGACTTTGTGCGACAACATTTTGCAAATCATTAAATGCTGCACAGTGTAAAGGATGAATAGGGGTGTAAGGGAGGAGACAAGGGCCATGAAGACAGACAGGGAGACTTGAAAGGGTTATTTTAATAACCTGGCTTTGAGTCTTGAATCTGCCACTTATTTGCTGTGTAGCTTTGGACAAGTTACTTAACCTCTCTGAACCTCAGTGCCTTCATCTGCAAAATGGCCATTATAGTTCCAACACTGTAAGGTTGTTGTGAGGCGTGTAAGAGATGTCACTGGTGGGACATGTAGGGTCGTGCCTGCCCGTAGCAGGTGCTGAATCAATTATGCCTGTTGTCATTTGTTAGACAAGGCTGTTCTTCCACCCCTTCTCTCAGAGCGTGCTGGGAAAAGGTGCGTCAGAGATTTCGAGAATCAACAGTAGGCCCTGATAGTGCGCCGCTTGGGAAGCGCGGCAGCGCTCCCGTCCGAGGGTTCGGATCCCACTTGTACAGACCGGCTCCCGCTCACTGGCTGAGCGAGGCGCGGGAGCAACGCCGAGGCTTGCGATCCCGTCGCCGGTCCCCGGTCCGGTACGGGGGCAACACTGAGGGTTGCGATCCCGTAGCCGGACACGGAAAAAAGACAAAAAAAAAACAACAACAGTAGGCCCAGATTTGGAGCATGGCAAGAACAAGAAAGCGACGCTAAAGGAGGGTTGGGTGGAAGCGGTGGCAGCATTTGACCTCTCCTCCTCGGGAGACTCCACTCCTGAGTCCCTTAGAGGCCACGAGGGCTCTGCTGTGCCCCCTTTCACTCATCCTCCCACTTCTCAGCTGCCTGCTGAGGGAGGAAGGATTTCCTACCCACCTCCCATCTTTTTCTCACAGCCGGGGCCCACGTGGAAAAATTCTAGGAGACCTGATGGGTCGGGGGAGGTGTCCTCTTACCCACCTGCCTCTAAACAGCAGTTCATCGCTCTCCAAACACTCTGCATCTCAACCCACAGCCAGGACAGCTCCTGGAGGTAACAGCAGACCTGTCGTGACTCACAATGTTGTGAAATGGTGCTCTCAGTAAGGGCCACACACTGCGTGATAACATTTAGGTCAAACACGAAGCGCAGATATGATGGTGGTCCCAGAAGGTTATAATGGAGCTGAAAATTTCCTATTGCCTAGTGACACCGTAGCTGTCATAATGTCGTAGCACAGTGCATAACTCAAAGGAGCAATAGGCTGTATCATACAGTCTAGATGTGTAGTGGGCTGTAACATCTAGGTTTGTGTAAGTGCACTCTATGATGTTCCCACAGCAACAGAATTGCCAAACGACGCACTTTTCAAAATGTATCCCTGTCATTAAGTGGCGCATGACTGTAATTTAGATCCTGTCACTTCCCTGACACATGCAGCAAAATCCAAAGTCCTCACTTTAAGGCCCTACGTAATCTGGCCCCTGCCTGCCCCTCTCAATTCATATTTCCCCCCTCTGTATCCGTGTTGGCTTTGGGGCTGTCCTATACATGTGACAACACACTGTTGCCACAGGGCCTTTGCACCTGCCATTTCCTCTCCTGGATCTCTGCTCCTCAGATTTCCCTGCTTCATTTAGGTCTTTACCCAAAAGACTCTGATAGAGAAGACTCATTATTCTCGAATCCCTTACCATGGCTTATTTCTCTTCAAAGTCTTACAACCCCTATCATTTTTCCTTTATGACAATTTCCTATCTTGCTCATAGAATGCAGGCTCCATGAGGGCAGAGACTGTTCACTGCTATGTCCCCATGCCTAGAACAGAGCCTGCTTGTTCACTGTAGGTGCTCAATAAGCACTTGTTGGATGGGTGAAGCATGAGCCTTGGATCACATTGAAAGGTCCTACAGGGCCTTCTCTTCTGGGTCAGTGGGAAAATCACTGGACAGAGGGGTAAGACCAGGGTTCTAGTCCAAGTTTCATTACTGTGTGACCTTGGGCAAGTCACTTAACTAATGTGTGCCTCAGTTTCGGCTGAAGCCAGATATACCTCCGTGGATTGTTTAACACAAAAGATCGCATATGATAATGTTTTAAAAATCACAATGTTAATGCAAATATAAGACTTTAAAAAACTTACTTTTCACCCCACTAGCAAAACTGACTATAGCCCATTTCCCAGGAGGCCTATGACATTTGTCCTCACTCAGTACTGGGAGTCCTCCAGGAGGACTTGGGGGCAGGTGGATGAGGTGTTTGGGTAGGGTCTCCGAGTTTGCATTTCCTCCCCCTCTGAAGATAGACATGACTCAGACATGCTGAATCAGCTTTTCTGCCCAAGCCTTTTCTGTCAAGAGCATAACTCTGTAAAATCATTTGAACACCGAGGTTAATTAGCTATATTCATCAAGAAACAATTGGCAAATCATTTTAAGCCATGGAACACATAACTACACACAACTACTTCCCCACCAGTCCTCACCTCTCACCTCACAACTGCCTCTAACCCAGATTCCATCTCCAGGCTTTCGAAGTGTCTCTTTCAAGTCTCCCTGATCTGCTCTTGCTTTAAAGCAGAGTCTCTGCTAGAGTGCTCTGTAGAGCTCCGTGGGATGTTAGGTGTTAGAAAGGGTTCCATGGTCAAAGGAGTTTGGGAAATGCTGGGATGTGCTCTTGCTTTAAAGCAGAGTCTCTGCTAGAGTGCTCTGTAGAGCTCCGTGGGATGTTAGGCGTTAGAAAGGGTTCCATGGTCAAAGGAGTTTGGGAAATGCTGGGATGATCAAGGCTAGATGGGATTCTTGGCTGCAGGACTTCTCAGAGCCTTTATTATTGCTAATACAAGGAGTCTTTAAAAAGTTCATGGAAAGATTCATGTTATCTTGTAATTCTATCTTTCCATAGACTTTTTGAAGTACACTTGTATACTTTGGGAATCTCCAGCACAGAAATAGTGTAGGCAGCATTGATATATCTGACTACAGAGCCCCCTTTTCCCACAGAGCATCTCTCTAGACTATTGCTCCATGGAACCCCCCTTGGGAAACACTGCTCTGAAGTCCCCACCCTTTTTGCTGGTTCTGACCTGGGCAAGAATCAGAGCAGACTTCCCCTTGTCACTTCCCCTGCCGATCACCTTTC